AGGACTGTTGCCAACAGCGTAAAGGGAGAACTGGAGAAGAAGATGGTGCACTGTTGATTCTCCTGGAGAAGCTTGTCACACTGGCTTTCCTGATATGAACTCAACTATTCTCATCATTGGAGGAGCTTGGGTCCTTGCTGTTGCTGAGGATGGCTACGGTTCTTTTCAGGGGAGCTCTGGTCCTTACTTTGAGTGTTGCTTCCTGTCTCCAATGCAGATCACTTAGTTTGCCCGCTGGTACAGACTTTCTAGTTTCCACCACTGACTTTTGGGCCTTCCTAGCACAGATCCTTGAAACAAACTTGCATGAGATATCATAGTGGGCTGTAGGCCTCCAGTTGGACTTGAGGAGGACATTGCCATGGACTCTAGGTCCTCAGGACATTGCTGTGGGATCCAGGCCCTGAGCTGGATTCTTTAGGTCTCTAGTGTGTGAACAGATCTCCTGCACTCTTTTGCATTTGACTCTTTGGATGAATATTATTAAATAATCTTATAAATTATGTGTCTTGTATTAAATTGTTTCCTTTATAAACCCTGACTACAACAAAATTGGTACTGAGAGTGGGGTCATTGCTTGACATTGCCTGCCATGTGGCTTAAGAGCTTTGGGAATTAATTTGGAAAGGTTTTGAGAGATTGGCCAAAGAGGCAGCCCCTTTATGCTGTAAACTATATGGGAGACTCTGGTCAGAGCCTGGAAAATAAGAGTACTGATGGAAATGCTGCTGTTTAGGGTGAAGCTCAGGAGGTTTCTATTGGGAAGAACTGCATTGGTTGCTGGATCCCAGGTGGTATATATTGTGCTTTGGCAGGAAGTTGGTCTGCATTTTGCCTGTGTTAGTGACATTGCCTGGGTGCCAGAGAAATTTCAATGTAGTCTACTGTTCTTATAGTGGCATGGTTACTGTTGAGAGCTTTTAGCCAGATCTATGTTGAGAATCAAGAGCAAAATGTCCAACAGAATGATTTAAAATGCTGTGAGTTTGGCCAGAAGGGAAGCTCCAGTAAAGCTGTGGACTGCAAAGATAGAGCAGAGAAGATCTTGATTGCTGAGAAGGAACAGGAGAATACAAAAGATGGCCTAAGGTCATGACAAGAAGCAGGAAATCTCCATCTTTTGCAGCCTCAAAACTGCGTAAGTGAAAGACTTTGTTTTAAGAAGGAAACCCCAGAGCACCAGTTCCAGAATGGTGGTAACCTAGAGAATTTGTTCCTCAGAGTTGGATTCAGAGTGCTCAGCAATCCAGGCAC